GAATCTCCAGGGGGAAATTAAGCACTTCATGCTTAATGCTTAACATGTTTAGTCCTTGCAGCCTGACAAAGAGTATGTAGTTCAGGGACTGCTGAGGGTGTGCTGAGGTATGGGAAGGCTGGGGAACCATTTGAAGGAGGCAATGGTAGAAGTGGTAGCCTGCACCTGAGGAAAGTTCCCAAGCATTTCTCAGAGTATGTATTAACAGGCAGCAGGCATCACTTGGTTTCTGTGCTTTACCTTCGCTCCTGCCTCCCATACGGTCTGTTTAGATTCATTCTAGAGAGTTTTTTGAGCACAATCCCTGCTTTCATCCCTCTCCCTACTTTGGTTATCACCTCCCAACCATGTTATCTAACTTCCCTGAAGTATGCCCTTTGTACTGCTGTACTGTCTAGGAGTCATTTTTCCCTGTTTAAGTGGTATTTAAACTCAATAGGATCGTATGGCACAGAATGAAACATGAAAAAACTTAGCTTTCAAGGGTTTTTAATTTTTCAAGTGGCATAACACAATTATGTCCCACAGCTGAGTCGTTCCTCTTTGACTGTTTCATCTTATTTGTATGTCTGATTTGTATGAGATGCCTCATTAATGAGACCAGTGTTAGGGATTTCTAGAAACCACTTATGTGAACAGCAAGCAGGATAAGACGTGTTTATCTACATCTGCTGAGAACATCTGATGTACTGCTCCTGTGGTCATCTAAAAAAGGGAAGCTAAGCTTCCTAGTATGCATCTTTATACTCCATATAGGATAAAGTATAATATACTTCATAACCTATTAATATCAATCTTTTTTCTGATGTGGTAATTATTTTTGAAGAAGATTAGCCCGGAGTTGCTTAATCTCTTAGCGAGTTGCTTAAAAGGTACAGTTTGTGGGGATGACAGTGACTGTAGGTAAGTATTGCAGAAGACAGAACTTATTCTCAGCTATTTCAAGTGATTTTGTTCTGGTACAACTGTGTTGAAGTTCATATGTTGGCATGCAGTTAACGCATTTCTGTAGGTGGACCTAAGGGCAGACCTTCAGGCTATGAACTTCCTGAGATTTCACTCAGAAAATCCTACAATAGGCCATGACATTTAATGGAGAAGTGTTGAGTTGAGTATTCCAGCTCCCCATAATGATTACAGGTTAGTCGAGTACCGTGTTCTTATTTCCACTGTTGCTGCAGATGCACACAGTAGGAATTACTGTCTCCTGAGTTCACAAGAATGAAGCTGTCAGAGAATGTGTAGGGATAGGTTACACTTAAGGCAACACCCAGAAGAGGACCAACCCGCTCTACCATAATAGTGCCCCTTAAGCTTTCCAAAATTTTTCCTGACCATACCTGACCATTTCCTACACAGTTGTATAATTATTCCATATTAAACTGCTGAGTTTGAGGGAAAAGCTACATTTCATGGTAGCTGGGTTTATTCAATTAAAAAGAAAATTCTTGAACTGCTTGAGGGTGAAATACAAGCATCAGTAGAAATGTATCTGAATGTATCTATGTATCAGAATATAAACATAGAAGCAAATATATTTTTTACACTGCGTGATCCAATGTCAGAGCTATGGTGATAACACTCCTACAGCTTTTTTATTGCTGCTTATCTTTCACATCATTGCATCAGAAGAAATCTGCTGATGTGTCTTCATGAAACTGAATGTATGTTAAGTAGGGCTTGCAGCTTAGTGAGCAGTGTGTGTGAGAGCAACTCATCACTCTTCCATCCTCAGCAGATAGGCATTTTGAGATCCAGCTGTATGTTGCTGCCATCTTCCATACAAACAGGATTCATTACTGACATCGTGCTTTTCTTTCTCGTTTATTCCTGATTGACACAGATTGCAGTAGAGGAGAAACGGTCCATACCCTAGTATGATGGGATCAAACACCTTCATGGTGTTAAATGCTATGTTAAATGCAAGGTAAAATGCTGCTATTGCCTAAGGAGCATTCACAAAAGCTAACTTAAACGGAGTGATGATCTTGCTTGGCAGCCTCTTGTCAATGAAGAGAGACAGGTTCCTGCAGGCAACAGGTAAATTAGTCTTTTGCTTTGAATCATTGTCTGGAAGGGTCTTCCCCTCCTCTCCGCTGTCTAGATGAATGAGCTTCCCCAGAGTGATGCTGTGTTTTGTGAGTCATGTGCTGTGCTGTGAAGGTTAAGCTAAACTCCCCTGTGCAGTAGCTACCAAAATCAGTGACATTCACTGACGGTGGGTATGACTCAAACATAGTAGAAACAGCGTTTGAATAAAATCGCATTGGAATCTTTCTGCCACATCAATCCATTATCAAGTCCTGCTGGCTGGGGATGGGGTTCTATCTGAAGGGTCACCTGGCACGTAATCAAAGTCATGTTAATTTAATAAACATGCAAAAAAAAGTAGACTAGCATCAATAAACAACAACATTGAATCAACATGGGGCACCATGCTCAGCTATGCCAGTAAAGTAGAGATCTCTCACAGCTTAGCAGGCAATGGGAGCAGCTAAACAATATTTGACAGGAAAGCAAACAAATTTCTTTAAAATGGCATTTGCTTTCCTTGTGCTTTCCTTACTGAGCTGGACAGCCCCATTTTTGAAGTAGCTTCCACTGCTGCTATGAAGTCCAAACTAAAGTTGTGCAGCTGTTAAGTTTTACAGTGAAGCAATGTCAGCGGACAGAGTGCAGATAGTCTCCAAGTGGTTTGTCCAACATAAATGTAAATGTTAAAAGACATTTTTATTTGTTTCCTTTTTATTCCTTTTTGTTTGTTTGTTTGTTTATTGACTATTTGCTGTTTTTGTGACATTTTGGCAGAAATCACCATAACCTTTCAGGCCTCAGTGAGGTGAACTTTCTACCATTTATTTGGTAGTAGCAGCTGATACATGATTCCAAAAGTAATCCTTGTGGATGAGTTGAATGAATGCTTGTCATCTTCCCGCGTATTCATGCTGCTGAGATCCAGGAGAAATGAACTCATGTCTTCCACAGTAATTTAAATTCCACGTTGGCAGGTTCTACTAAGCCTGGGGACACCCAATTCAAAATCTCTCTGCTTATGAGAAATACTGAAAGCTACTTGCTTGTTTTTTTCCCGTGGGAATATTTTCACATAGGAATCTCCTGGGAAATCATACAGTAACTCTTCTATAGTTTGAGTTGACTTTTTTGTGTGTGCATCCCTTCGTGGTTAGAGTTTGGAGGGCATGTAATTGCTGAAGATGAGAGTTAATGAATATTTTTCTCGTAACTGATGACTGTAAATTCACAAAGGTATCTAAGTGGGAATTTTGGTAACACTAGAGTGCTTTAAGCTCTCCTCTGAGAAAGGTTGAAGCTAAATCATGATAAAATAGTTTTCAAAAGTGATTGTCAAGAATTTACAGGGCTCTTTCAATTTACATCCTATCTTGGGTACCATTATCCTAGCAGGCCTGTTCAAATTGGTTATATTTTTAGAAGAGAATCCTCACTGAATTACTTTTTAAAAATGTGCAGTCTTTAGTGTATAGATCTCTGAATATCAGAGAATACATTTATACATCAGCACTTTATCAGATCCCTAGGAAATGCTTTTTATTTGCTTGGACATGAGAAGTAGTTGGTTAACTAAGGATTCTTCTGCTAAGCCAGGATTAGGGCTTTTTTGCCTGCCTGTTAATTTTTAGTGTTCAACTACTGTTATCAAACGACAGAACATTTTATTATTTCTCTTCATAATTTGTGTTATTAAGAGAACAGTACCACCACTCTCTTCAACTGAGCTGTTCTCCATCTGAACTGTAGACTGCGTTCAGAACTGGAGCAAGCTTGGTGTTCTTGAGCAGTTCTCAATTCCAGAGAACATACCTTCTTCCCATGGATCTCATTTTAGGATTTTTTAAAGGTTTACCAGAACACTGTAAATTATATTCCTTTTGTTCTGCTTACCAAAGCATTAAAATACAGTCTTCATACTTGAAGAGGGTGTTTTGAAAGGGATCGCTGTTCTTGGGGCAGTTAATGCTATTCTTACTTTCACAAGTTGTTCTGTCTTACTTTCATATCCATTGTTAGAAAAATGTAATTACATGAAAACAAAAAGCATCTACTGGGTCAAAGCCCAGTATCCTGCCTGTGATGGTGGCAAAACCCAAATGCTTAGCAAGAAGTAGTAAAATAAACAAGCATGTGGCATTATTTTCTTGCATAAACCCTCCCACTGTCCAGCAGCCTGTGGCTTGAAGTTGATGGGAGAGAAAAACGGTATAATTATCTGTGTATTTAATAATTCTTGCTATACTTTCTTTTCCATTACTTTGGTTTAGTGGCTTTCTTGATCCACTGTATTTGTTGCTTCCATAATACTGTAGGGCAATGAGTTGCACCATTTAATTGCACACTGTAAAAAAAAAATACAATTGTAAATACAGTGGTAAATACAATTAACACAGTGGATTGTGATTTGGTTGGTAATGCTTTAATTCAGACTCTTAGCTGAGATACAGCTGACTAAATGCTTTTAGTGCAGATATTTTTTCACCGTATCTAATGAGCAGACGTCGTTAATAAGGACTAAGAAGATTGTTTTCAACCATATCTTTTTTCTATTTTTAAGAATATTTAGCTGGGATAAACCTTAAGTGTCACCTAAATGAGCCTTTCAGTGTTTGTACGTATGCCAGCGTAACATGCTGAGCTGCTATATAGTGGATACTAGGTCTTGTATTTCCAGAGTTCAAACCACAGTTTAGCTTAGGGTATTGTTCTCAGGGAGGTAACAGAACTAAAGCATCAATTCCTAGCTGATATGTCTAGCGTAGGTTCATTATAAAGCTTCCAGGCAAATAGTTTTCCCTGTAGGCTTGTGAAGATGCACACAGGCTGAGCTGTCTAATACACACTGTGGGATGAGCAGTCGTGTAAAAATACAGTAAAGTAAAATTGATATCATTTGAAATGTTTATTTTCCAGAGCTCCTTTTGTAGGTTAAATGCACAGCAGTGACTTTTCTCTCTGTTATACAGAGGAGCCAATATACTGTTACACACCACACAACTTCACCCGCGATCAAGCCTTGTATGCCAGAGGATATTGTTGGACAGAATTAAAAGATGCCTTGCCAGGAGTTGATGCCAGCCACTGGCCCTCCTTGTTTGAGCATAAGTTCCTACCTTATGCACTGCTGGCTTTTGCTGGGATAATGTACATTCCAGCTCTGGGCTGGGAATTTCTGGCCTCCACCCGACTGACTTCAGAGCTTAATTTTTTGCTTCAGGAGATCGATAATTGCTACCACCGTGCAGCTGAAGGACGGGCACCAAAAATAGAGAAACAGATCCAGTCCAAAGGCCCGGGGATCACAGAGAGAGAGAAAAGAGAAATCATTGAGAATGCAGAGAAGGAAAAAAGCCCTGAACAGAACTTGTTTGAGAAATACCTGGAAAGAAGAGGACGAAGTAACTTCTTAGCTAAGCTTTATCTCGCGAGACATTTGTTCATCATCTTTTTAAGCATCATACCCATTACATACTTGTCCACCTACTATGCTACACAGAAGCAAAATGAATTTACGTGTGCTCTAGGAGAGCCTCCGGACAAGACAAGCAGCTCCAAATTGCACATCAGAGTGAACTGTAAGCTGCCATCTGTCCAGCTCCAGCGGATTATTGCAGGCGTAGATATCTTTCTCCTCTGCTTTATGAACTTGATCATCCTTATCAACCTGATTCACCTCTTCATATTTCGCAAGTCCAACTTCATATTTGATAAACTGAACAAAGTTGGAATAAAGACCAAGAAACAGTGGCAGAAGTCCCAGTTTTGTGACATCAATATTTTGGCTATGTTCTGCAATGAGAATCGGGACCACATAAAATCACTGAACCGTCTGGATTTTATCACAAACGAAAGTGACCTGATGTATGACAACGTGGTGCGCCAACTGCTGGCGGCGCTGGCCCAGTCCAACCATGATGCCACCCCAACCATGCGTGATTCAGGGATCCAGACCATAGACCCAAGCGTCGACCCAGCAGACATCGATGGCAACGAGCAGCTCATCATTAAGAGACCAAGGAAAAAGATGAAATGGATCCCAACTACCAACCCACTTCCTCAGCCTTTCAAGGAGCAGTTAGCCATCATGAAGGTCGAAAATCATAAACCTGAAAAGCCTAAGCCTGTGCGGAGAAAAACGGCGACGGACAGCCTTATTGCTCCTTTGTTAGAATCTGCTGCAAAAACCTCACAGCAATCAGCAGCTCATAAAACTGAATCAAACGCCGTCCCGAGCACAGGCACTGAAAAGAAACACACACGGCACTTTTCCTTGGATGTACATCCATATATACTTAGTAGTAAAAAAACCAAGCCAGAGATTCCAGCCATCCCCTCGATGCCTACATCAAAAAGCCAAGAGGGTGGATTTCTAAACCAGGAAGAGAATGTCATAGTACACGTTACCTCCTCTCTCAAAGGTACAGTATATTGTAATGACAGTACCACCTTCACAGACGATGATTTTTGTAGTGATCTTCAGGAATGCAAAGCTTATTTGAACTTTTTGACCTACTTTGCTAGATTTTGGGATAAATAATAATATTAGGATGTGTAGGCCTCAGAAACAGTAGTTGTCTCTATCAGAATACAGCTATATGGAGAATAAGCATTATGTCAGGTACGGCTGTACAAAACAGCCTGCAAGTTATTGCTGCAGGTAGTTTTTCAAATGTAAGCAGATTTTCACAGTAATTAAAGTAGTTGTGCCTTACTAAGAAAATGAGGAGAGTTCAGCCTCTAAAACACTTTTCCTGCTCCACCAGCATCTGGCATTTTTCAGATTGGCTTTATTCTCAAGTTATATAGAAAAAAATCTCTTTGACTATCAGTTCTTAGGGATTGGCATTTCCACCTACAAAGGCACAACTCACATTATGTTGCTCTTCACCCCAAATCTTAATTTGCCCTTTGTCTCATGTGGACCAGATGATGAATGGTCTGAAGTGTGGGTGCTGGTCCGGGATTCAGGAATTCAACCACTCCCTTCCCGTGTGGCCTCACAAGAAGCACTCTTTCTGTGCCTCAGCTCCCTCTGTGTGTCTTGCAAATACAACCCCGTTTCTGCCTTAAAGGACTTTTCCAAATATATCAACAATTGCTGTGTGCTAGAGTGATGGGGAAAGCCATGTAGGCACTAAGAAAAGCAATCAGTAGATAAGCTGACAGGCAGATATCTATCTTCTTGTTGATTTTGTAAGCTACTGACGTAAGAAACACTGTGCAGAAAGATTTGTACATCCTTAAAGCAATGGCTCTCATCTCATTACAAGCTAAGACCTCCCTCTGGGCCTCGACAGACTGACAGCTACCGTCACCCCACTGCCCAGCAAAGAAGTGATTTGAGGTATAAAAGTTTCTGTCACTTCCAAATCGTTATGCTCCTCAGAGCCCTCCAACTCCCTGATGTGCATGTGAGCTACTCTGCAGCTTTCCTTATCCGATCACCTGCTCTGATTTCAACTCCTCAAAACTACTGGGGTTTTCTGGTCTCAATTACCTTCATCTAAATTAGTGCTTGAATATTTTAAGAGTGAAAAAATTATTACTGTAGTTTTGGGGCTCTGTTACTCTCCATTGCAATTGAAAGTATCCAGCTTTGCTTTTGAGTTAGAGCAACATTGCAGTCCATCAGGTAAGGCAGACTTCTAATTTCTGGAAAGAGACATCAGTTAATGACAAATTGCTGAGTTCTTCCTAAAGACAAGTGGCTTACAAGATGTAACCACTATTTTTTCCCATTGAAAATATCAGCACATTTTGTATTCCATCTTGTGGGTTTCAACATTCATAACATTTGTCAAAACATTAAATCATAACACGTAAAAAACATCTGCCAAACCATAGAGGAGAGTAAAAGATACTTTTCAGTTGTTTTCTGTTCATTTTATGAAAATACCATTCACATTAGGAAGCATGAGCATGCATAGAAAGTGAGATTTACAAAACCCATTTGTTGTTTGTCCCATTTCTCTGAGCTTACAACCCTGTTGTTATGAAACAGCCCTGTTGGATTTCCCAGAGGATCCTAAGAAAATTCATTTTGGAGTCCTCTCCTGCTCCTATTGGAAGCAACGGCAGGACCGCCTTTATTGGCGGAGTACACTGCTCTGTGATGCACTGGGAGGGTGAAAGACTGCCCGTCTTCTAACTGGCTCTTTTGATTTCTTCTAGACACCCCTCATCCTGCAAAAGAGATGCTGTACTCATCTGAGACATGCAGAACTGTGCCTGCTGCTGGGGCTTTTGTCACATGCAACCACAACCATATAGCCACAACCACAGCGACAAGTATGACTTTGAACCCAGCCAAAGCAGAACCAGCCCCTGCGCTGAACTGCAACCCCACTCACCCTCTGCTGCACATCAACACGCTGTATGAGGATCACGAGGAGGAAGTTTCAAACATAATCGACAATGGGATTCACTCCCCGACTGACGCAGGGGAAATTCTCTCCATCCCCACCCCCAAGCAGATACGGCTGGCAACGTTTGACGAACCGATGGCAATCGTGAGCTCAGTGGAGTACTGAAGCCCCATGGCTGCTCTCTGGTGGCCAAGCCCAAGGCAGTGCAGTGAGAAGCGTCGTCCCCTTCAACACTGCACTTCACTGCATGAGCATGGAGAGCTTTCATACAAACTATAGCTCTTGGTAATAACACCAAACCGTTTTTCAGGATCACGTCATGAGCACTGTCATTTACAACATAGAATAAGTAAAACCTGGTGGAAGTAGACCTTGAACACCAAGACAACCGTTAGCTCTAGCTCTAACTATAGCTTCCTGATTGAATTGGTTTTAGCACAACTTATGAACATTAGAAGTCTGATGGCATGCCACAGTAATTTTAGCGAGTATTTAAGCCGTTTGCATTCAGAGTCACTGATGAAAGCTAAAAAGACACAGAGGTGAGGTATGCTTTTTTAATGGCAGTAGTTAAATAAGAGTTTTTTTTTCTAAGCAGAGAGGGGCTTTTTTTTCAATTCAGAATTACACAAAAGTTATATGCAAGACAATTTTTGTTTGCTTCTTTAGCTCACTGACGTTGGGCTCGATGGAGACTTAGCTGAAAGGGCCTTACTACCACCAGCAGCATTTAAGTGCAAAAGGAATGGATACATTCAACCTCTTGCATTTATAAATTAAAATACCTGAGGTACGCCCCGCCCTTTAACGAGCTTTTATTGTGATGGAAGATGCTGAAATGAAGAGTTTATTTTTTTAAATATATTTTACCATGGGAAAAAGATTACTTTAATAACTTTTCAAACCAGGTGTTCGTTGCTTTTAACAAAATATGTAGAAGAGAGTCATTGTAGCTGCTTATTTTTTCATAGTGTATTTATGAACCAGGTTAGAAACTTCTATGGGTGCTTCACTGATGAAAAATCTTACAGAGGTTGTTACAAAACATGTTACAAAATATGAAACCAGCAAAATCGTATTCAGATAACAGGATTAAGGAAGCCTATGAATTTAGGTGTCCAAGCTTGGCTAGTTCTTGATTCAGCAAACACTTAAGTCTATGGATGTCACTGAAACGACCCATATGTTCTTTGTAAAGCTAAGCACATACTGAAGTGGCTTTGCTGGATCTGGACTCTAGTGCAAGCAGACAATGATCCTGCTGTACGTGCTATCATTCTGATTCAGTATTTGCCTTCCTTGGCTCAAAGCACATCTTCATCCCCATCTTCCTATAACTTTGATATGTGTGATTTAATAGAAAATTCTAGTATAACTAAAACATCTATTAAAAATGTATCATGCAATAACCATTCTCAGCAAAATGATAGTGAAACAAAAAGTGACTGTGTTGAAATAATATTACTACCAGAATTATGGACTATGTGTGTTTGCATCAAATTATGTATAATGAATGGTAGAAGAAATATGCAGCACAAATACAGGATTGAAATCTTGAATTTATTTTTAATTTATTACCTCAGACATGGATATATGATACCAGTATTTAATTAAAATAGCACTGAAAATAAATACCTATTATTCTGAATAGCTTAATGTGTACTGTGTCCTAGTGTAGTTACAGACAAGTGGGATTCTGGTAGAAGCAGTATTTGGGACGTGTAAAACCACTGTTCCCCCATACAGTACTTCATTCCTGCATGGTGTTTTCGGCCCAAACAGCCAAATATCAAGAAGCAAACCACAGGATATGTGGCACAATCAGGGGAGGAAACAGTGGGAATGGCTGAAGGATGGGCCTGTGACTTCCTGAGGTGCCAGCACTGTGGAGCTTTCTGTGTGAGGCTGCCTTGAGGTGAGTGAGCACTTAAGCTGTTTGCCGTCTGCCTGTGGCTGAAGGCTTTAGGTTGACTCCTAATGCATTGGAGGGTGCTTGGCATCACTGTCATCTGTCAATTGGTAGAGCAGTGTGAAGGTTCTAAAAAACAAACCTGTACCTGCGCAGCCAACTTCTGCAAGATTTCTCCTGGTGGGCAACCTGGGAACGGAGCATCCCCATGAACAGACTGCAAACAAGGCCAGTGGTTGCCATCTGGGGAGGCTCATCTGAGTTCAGTGGCATATCCAGGCTTTAGTGGTGAGCTGAATGCCCCACTGCATTATAATCACGCATACACAGTCCTGTAATTAGAATTAATTTCTTTTTTCAGGCAAATTAAATGTCTCCAATTTGACTACCCACACAACTCACGTTCTTACAGGACCTTCTGTCCCATTAGTATTAATGGCTGCTGTTCCACAGAAACCCTTTTCTTCAGAGTACTTCTTCAGAGTGCTTTAGACAACCAGACAGTAAGGATAAGTGTCAGCAGCATCTTTTGGACTACATTTAGGTTGTCCAAACCTAGCAGGAGACCAGCCAGCTCCATCACTCTTAGAGAAGTGCCTTTGTTGGGATTTCTTTAGTGCACTAATGCTTTTTAGTATTGGTGTTACTAACATTTCTCTGTAGCAGGTCAATGTGCATATACACAAACACATCCAAGCTTCTCTATACAGCTACGTAGAATCATAGAATCATAAAATGGCCTGGGTTGAAAAGGACCACAATGATCATCTAGTTTCAACCCCCCACTGTGTGCAGGGTCGCCAACCACTAGAATACACACCTATAAATGCTGTATATACATGTAAATACATATTGCATATAGAAAATAGCCTCTATTTTGCAAAGGAGCTATACAAGGAAGTCTTCATTTCCAATAACCATTGCCCAATTCATCAGCATGTTTCATCTCTGACTGCTGGGATTTTCTGCTGCTAGGCATGACAGTGACAGGCCTCTGCTCCATGCTGAATTTGGGGTGCTGGGTAGTTTATGTTTTGATGTTGACAGCAAATTAGTCCCTGATTTTGAGCTTTAGAAGATATATATCGTCATTGTCCCAGCTTAGAGACAAAGCCATTGAGGCACAGGAAAGTGAGACAATTTGTCCCAAAGCTATTTAGGCTGTGTCTAAAGAGCTGAAATTGCCACAGGTGGGACACTGCCCTGTTCCCAGCACAGTAATGGGGTATCTTTGCATGGTGCTGTAAAGATCTTGGAATTCTAGCAGAAAACACCTTTTTTTTTTTCTCCCCTTCCAGAAGCACTGTAGAATATTGATCACAGAATGTTTTTCTTTAAAGAAACAATGGGTTTTCTCAGTAAAACTGCTCTGCTAAAGCACAAGCCTCAGAGCACAGTAGGAGTTTTAAGCAGAACAATTATTTTTCAGACACCTTCCAATATTTTCTGGCTTTTAATGAGGAACATTCCACTCTGCCTGTAAACAGACTATAACTAATGGGAAAACATTCTATGTGCATTACTTACAAGCAACAAATTTTCAGCATTTGCTGTTCTCTGAGCAGTTTTAAGGCCTTGCTTAGCAATTTTGCAACACTATGCAAACAGAAAAATTTACAAATGACTCCACCACGACACCAGTGAGAACCTCAGGGTTCCGCAGGTCACATTCAGCGAAACGCTACCCAGCCGATCCCGCTGTCCTCAGTGGTTACTGATGTCCTGACTTAATGCTTTGTTGACTTGCTGTTTATTCACAGGATGAATTAGCCCAGAGCCAGAGCCAGCTTAATCTGAAAGAAGTTCTGGGGCTCCTGCTGGGCTTAAGAGCAAAGACTCTATTGGTTAACTAGAAATCATTTTGCTTTATAATCTTAGGGCTCATGGCATTCACCAGTCTGTCTTTCCAAAAACACATCCAGGCAGTGCACAATAAATCCCTGGGAGAGGAATGCATGCTTTGTAAGCAAAATCTGATGCCTTGCATGAGATAAGAGAGAAACTCCCCCCTCTGCACTACTGCAGATGCTTGCCTGTAAAGAAAGTTTGTGTGCTTAACAGATTCTACTGGTCTTGGAGCTTTTGCAGTGTGTCACTGAAGTCATGAGAGTCACTGCAGTTGTTGCTCAGGAACAAGAAGCGGGGCGTGGGGAGCAAAGCAAGGGGGCAGATGGGGACATTTTGTTGTTGAGAGAAAGAGCTCCTGGGAGCAACTCAAGAACTTCCTTTGTGAAGCTTTCATCCATGGAAGCTTGGATAGAGGATGTGCCAGAATGAGAACCAGGAAACCTCTGTACTCTTTGTGCTATACATACAGTCCTGCACACTTCTCACTGACAGGTTTACCCTGTTGTTGGAAAGGCCTACACAACGTAAACGGGTACCCAAAAGCACAGAAAAAATAAGCCAGAGAGTGAGAGGGATTAATAGTCCAAAAGAGGAAGACCTGATGAAACATGTATCCCAGCAAAAGCAAAGGGCTGCTTCAGAGGGTAAACCTGTCAGTGAGAAGTGTGCAGGTACCCTGGCTAAACTGGGCAAGGTATTGCCCACAGGTCAAGGGAGGTGATCCTTGCTCTCAGCAGCAGTGAGGCCTCACCTGGAGTACTGCCACCATTTCTGGTCTTCTCAGTACAGGACAGACATGGACATACTGGGAAGAGTCCAACACGGGGCCTCAAAGATGGCAAAGGGATTGGAGCAGATCTCCTGTGATGAGTGGCTGGGGGAGCTGGGCCTGTTCAGCCTGGAGGAAGCACAGGGGGATCTCATCAGTGCCCACACATAGCTGAAGGAGGGTGCAAAGAGAATGGAGCCGAACTCATTTCAGTGGTGCCCAGTGCCAGGACAAGGGGCAAAGGTACCAACTGGAACATAGGAGATTCCATCTCAACAGCAGGAAGTAGTGATGTGCTGTGTGGGTGACAGAGCACTGGTACAGGCTGCCCAGGGGCTGTGGCATCTCCTTCATGGAGATCTCCTCTGATGCCTGGATTTGAGGAGATCTGCTCTGGGTGTCCCTGCCCAAGCAGGGGTTGGGCAAATGGATCCAGAGGGCCCACAGCCTCAGCCCCTTTGTCATTCTGAGACCAGGAGCAGCCAGGACGAAGCTGAGCTGGAGAATGCCGCTCCCACACAGCGCCTGCTGCTTCTCTGCTGCACAGCAAACATCCTTCATAGGCAAAGTCTCACAGAGCAGTATTTGTTCACATTGAAGCAACAACATATCTAACCTAGGCAGGCAGGTGACGGCAGTAACAGGGACTGTATTCAAGATACCTGAGGTCTCTGCCATCATGCAAACCTCCAAC